TTCCCTAGGGGATGAATTCCCTTTAGTAATAGATCAGAATAATTCAAATAATATTTCATGGATTCACCTCTGAATATCTTGGTTCAAGAGTCCCCACTGTAAGTGCTATCATGACAGAGTATCTGGGGAAAGGAAATCTCCTTTCCTTACGAGATGCCATTAAGTCCACTTTGTCAAAAAAGGTCAACAAAATAACTTTCAGCAGAAAATGAAGAAACAAAATGCACTGACAAAATTAGTGTGTACCTACTGCTTTTAAGACACAGTAATTTGCAATTACTTGTTTCAAATCCCCCATTTCTGACACGGTGGAAAATAAATGAAACAAAATTTGGTACTCACGGTTTCCACAGTTGAATCCTCCCAAGCCAAATGGGCAGCTGGGAACAGAAAACAACAGCTTAGTTGTGCCGACGGGTCACCAAATCAAGGGTGATGGGGTAGGAGAAGGGCAGAACAGTCACCATACCTCACACATGTCTCATTTTCCAGCTTATATCCATCTTCACAGGCTAAAAAAAGAGAGAAGGGCCATGAGCACCACACAGTGGTGCGGGAAGGCATTTCCCATCGCTGCTTCCCACAGCAGCCTCACCCCAACCACCCTTGGGGCCAGGCAGCAGTGAGGCTGCACAGCAGGAACGTGATGTCCTTTGATGGGATGTAGTGTCTCCTCTGGTTTAGGCAAAACACTGTGCTCGTAAATTCACCTCCTGCTGGCTTTGACAGGACCATTTCAGGGCTTCCAGACAAATCCAGCCTGGAGTCTGGCACGGGGTAGGCAGCGGAAACTCACTGCACACTTGTACTGCTTCCCACAAAATAGCAGCGTAAAAAAATCTTTTAAGTGCTAGTATTGCAACAAAACATTATGCGAACACAGGTTAACTCAAAGAGTTATGCTAATGTTTTGTCTCATATCACCTTCTCATTTTCAAATTTGCAGCTAAATCACATTTTGAGTGATCATATTTTACTATACAATAGAAATTGAATTTACTAGGTTTAAATATCCCAGAAAACTGCTGTCTACAAATGCTGGTGAAAAACTGAAGCCATCACTTCAAAATAAAATAATTTCCATGGCTATGGACAACTCTCCCATCACCTGAATTATCTGAGGAAATTATACCACCCTTCTGATGACCAGCAAAGGAGATGATACATTGGACACACAATTATAAGATTCAAATTACTATATGATCACTGATTTTCTCAGCAAGAGTCCCACCAGAGCTCCTGAAGATGTGCTGCCTTTTGTGGAAGCAGTGAAGGTAGTCACTCAAAGACCTGAGCAGGAGTAACACAGACAGAGTCATTTTGGGTGGAGGGACAAACCAGGGCCAGCACATGCATCAGCCCTTGGGGGTCTGCAAGACATCACCCAGGGGTCTGGGAAATCCCTGCAGCACACTCCACTGGGAATTGTTAAGTGAATACAAAATTGCTCATGGATTTTTTTCCCCCTCAGACACTATATGCTTAACATTGGCGAGACAGCAGCTTTCAAGACATCTTCCCTTTTCCTTGCTCTGTAACTGTAGGGATAACCCACAGCCAAAAACTCAGATGCTCTCTAACACCAGCAAGCAGGGAAAAGAGGGAACTTCCAGCTAAGCTGAAGCAAAGGCCTCACCCTCCCTCTACTGCTCCCAGCACACTGGATGCCTTTTCCCTCTGGAACAGCCAGCAACTGTACTGTGAGAAACCCTTAGTGCAGGAGAGGAAGAAGGAGAAAGGGACAAATGTGTAACATTGTCAGTTTGAATGGGATGGCAATATCATAGTGAATCAAGAAAGGGAATAGGATTCTGGCTGGTTTCAGAAGTTTATGGCTCTTCCAGCACCAATAACAAATGCTATTGATGCCAGCAGGGAGCAATGCTGCTGTGACCTCCACCTTGTAATACAGGTCACAGAACTTCCCTAGATTTAATTCCAGTTTCAAATCAAATAGTTGAACTGGAGCTACATTTTAGAGAATCATCCAAGACTGGTTTTAATATTTCCAGTGACGGACAATCAACCACAACCCTGGGTCAGATGCTCACAAAGTTAATTTCCCCAGCCATTAAAAACATTCACCTTCTTTCTGGTCTGAATTATCCTAGTGTCAAATTCCAGACTTTGGATGTTTACTTACTAGATTGAAAAAGGTTATATGATCACATTTTTCCTTCTCACCACCAAAGCACTCCTTTACCTTTAATAAAGCCAAGGACACTGAGATCCTTGAGTGTCCCTAGTTATTGCAGCTTTTCTCTGAACACCCATAGGTTCTCTTTGACCCTTTTGATTTCTGATTCCCAGAAACAGATGTCACAGGCAAAGGGCTAACAAAATTTCCCATCTTCTGCCTTCCTGTGACCCCTAAATGTACCCAGGCATCACATTAGTGTTGCAAGCCAGAGCTGGGAATCTCTTCTTTATCTGCCAAGCCCCCTGTTGCAGCTCTGCCCAAGTCTCTGCTTTCCAGGAGATGCGACTCACAGTGTGCCTGGCACTCTGCTCTTGGATTCCTGGCCTTGCTTGTGGACTTAGTGAAATATTCTTTGCCTGTATACCATTTACTAAGTGTTTCATGTCACTCAGATGCTTTCCCTGCAGAATGTGTGGATGCAGGTAAGTGATGCACTCACATCATGAATATTGCAGCTGTAGACACAGACTTTCTGCAGCAACTAGCACCCACGATGATGGGGGGGCTGATGTTAATGATACCTGGTCTTGCACACTTTTCTTTGCCCTATATAGCCCCACTAATCCTCCACTACCTCTCTCACTCCATTTATTCTGCCTGAGCTGGGGATGGGAAGGGTTAGGCTCATTACGTAGCCCTGCTACTGCATCTCATTGTGATGTTTTTTGCACTGGATTTATTTTTCGCCCTCTAAGAGGGTTTCTTTGAAGTGAAGGAAGAGACCAGAGGTAACTTGACAAATTTAAGAGCCTCAGTCAACAAACAGCCAGGGCAGGGGTAGTAAATCCCAAAGGATCCTTGCCTGGCTCATTCATAACACGGAGGCATTAGCAAAATGAAACTGGCTAGGTTGCTCCTTTCACCTGCTAACAAAAGCAGACGGAAAACATTACCGAGTGAATGTTCTACCAAAGTGAACCACAGGAACAGGCAATAATTAAATCTGCAGTGGAAGGGAGAGAGGCATCACCTTGACAGCTCACTGGAGTTGCCCTCTTTAATGAGCGCAGCAGCCCTGTGTATCCCAATCCCAGCTCCAGCCCATTGTTTGTGTGTTTGGAAGATCTGCAGGAGCTTGCAGGCAGATGCTGGAGCCCAGCCTAACCTCACCCCAGCCCAGTAACATGTGTGGGGCACATAGTCCTTGAGCAGTCTCAAAGCTGGAGCTGTGCATTGGGCAGGAGCAGCCTTAGGACACAGCTCTTAGCCTAGGAGGCTACAGGGACAGTAAAGAGGAAAAGCAAGATCCTGAATATGCATTTCTCTGTCTGAAACACTTGGTGCTTATGTCTTTTCCTCTCCTCACCCTGCCTTTTCCTGCCACTTTGCTTTCTCCTTTGGCATCTTTCTTGCTCCTTTGAACATGTTCCCAGTAGAGCCTGTGCTGTCACACTCGCTCAGCAAGCTCTCAGACACAACCAGGGAACAGAGCAAAGGCTTAAGTGTCGGGGGCCAAGAAAAGCTATCAAGTTATACTCTTCTACTCAGGATTCCTTTGCCTTTTGCCTTCCCAAAAGACACTCAGGGGTCTCTTTGGAAACCTGCTTTGCTGCTCCTTGCTTTGCTCCAGAAACACTCTGTACTAGTAAAAATAGCATGCCCTTGAAAAGCTGGCACATTGGGTTTGCTGCTCTGTTACTAAAATAGCTCTGAAGATACAGAGGAGGTTGAAAACCAGCAAGGACCCACAGACAACCAAACGGCACACCAAGAGGTACCATAGCCAACATGTTTAAACTGCTGTGGCTCAGAGACCCAGCCCTTTTTCAAGCATGCCCCAGAGGATAGATGCCACAAGGCAGGACAGAACAAACCCTGGGGGTCAGGGCAAGCAGTTCCCTGTGCCCCAGCAGCTCTCCCAGCCATGCTTGCCTTCCCACGGGGGAGACCGGACAGGGCAGCACAATAGCCATTTCCCTCTTTGCAAATGCTATAATTGGAGTTACTGTACCACATTTTCATGACCCACAATGGGTATTGGATGCTCACGAGACCTCAGTTCCTGTTTAGGCACTAAGAGGGCAGAGATTTTCAAAGAGGCTGGCATATTGTGTGCTATATTTATCAGCAAAATGGCCCTAACTATCAAACAAGGGCCATAGCTTGGCTTTTGAACGAGCCTTTAAAAATCCCAACCGCTTGGCTTACTCAGATGAGAACAAGAGATACTAAAAATCTGGTATCTTGTCAGAGTGTGGCACCATTGCAGTTGGTGCTATCCTCGTGCCTCTGCACTACAACCTAAATGCCACATCAACCTTGTCCCTCAGACACTCTCAAGCTGGTCAGTAAGTTGTTTCCTACTGACAACAGTGAGCTGAAGGTGGAATTGAGGCCTCACTGTGTACAGGTAGAGGTTTTATATTTTGCACAGCAAACAAAATCCATAAGTAGGAAGCAACCATATGTACAAGATGTTAGATCTCTTAGCCCTCTGCAGCCATCACATCCAAATGCCTCACAGACTTTCAGATATTTATCTTCACAACACTGCTTGGCAAGAGACACAAGGAAGAAAACTGGAGTAACTTTCCCTGGGTTCTCTCTGTCTATGAGGAAGCAAGAATGGGTAAAAGCCTCCTCTGAGTTTCAGCACAGCTCCCCACTCACTACATAAGCCCTTCTCTAACTCTCTGGGGTCAGTAAAGATGGTCAGGATTTCCTAATAGAAATCCTTCCTTCAGTGTGCAAGATGAAGGAAAAGAAGGAAAACACAAAGGGAAAGCTTTTGCCTAGAGCCCCAGAGTAGAGGAGAAGGAGGTCCATGACCTGAGACCTAGAGATGCCCAACTGCAAGCTGTCCATCCGAGAGCCTGCAGCACATGAGTTATTTCCAGGCACATATTTCTCACTCTCTGATCAGATTTGGAACCGAAAAAGCATCTCCTCCTATTTCAACAGCAAACCAGCAGGCAGTGCCAGAAGCAATATATAACCACTACTGCAATTCTTATTGATATGTCATCAGAAAACTGCATTTCTTAATATGCCCTACAGCAACCACTGAAACTAGGGAATGGACACCCTGATCCTACAGAAGTCATTTTGACCACTAGGCATGCAAAGACTTTGTTTAAAATTTAGGAAAACCAGATTTGTTTTCAAGTTTTGTTGATCTGAGGGGTAGCTAAAAAATAACATAACCCTTAAGCTTAGAATTTCAGTTAGGAACTCAGCTGAAAAATAAATTCATAACCATTTTCAGATATGAACTTTTAAAATATTGATGATGTATTAATAAAAGCTTGTGAGTTTAAAGCACTTCTCCTAAGTTCACTGAGAGTTCAGACAAAATCAAAACAGGCAGAGACACACGTCATCTCTGCTCAGTGCCACTGAACTGGAGCCCAAAGCAGCCAGGCCCCTTTCTCCCTCTCCTCAATCACTGTGACTCACAGCATGCTCCAGAAAGAGATAATATTATTCCTAGAGAGAGACTGTATCTTCAGCGTCTGCTGAAAAGCTCTCTAACTAAATAAAAGAAACTTGAGCTGCTAATATTTATTCATAATATCGAGCTTCTTGCATGCACAGCACCACACACACACACACTTTTCCACTGGAACAAAAAGTTTAAGCAAAATTCAGGCAAGATACAGCCCCTAAAGAGCAATACCTCTGCAGGAGTGGTCCATCTTGTTGTATTTGAAGTACCCACTTTTGCACTGGCAGAGTGCAATTCCATCAAAGTCGGTGCATTCCGAAGTTTCCTTGTCGCATTCAGGGTCTTTCTGTCTGCACAAGCTGCCAGCTGTCAGGAAGAGGTGGCCAATATCAGCGTGATTCTCTCTGAACTCACTGTTAATGCACATTTTCTTTCCTCAGGCATCACATTTTGCTCATGTGCTGCTTTAATCGCCTGGGGATTTTTAAAATTATTTGTTCCATTAGGGGACAGACAGACAGCACTACCCCGTGTCACCACTTCTTGTGTATCTACCCTCGTTTGTGCAGGCAGATAGAGGGGGTGAATAATAAATGTTTCAGCTTGGAGGCAAAAGGGGAAATGAAAAAGAAAAATTTGGTTTGGCTTAAGCGGATACACATTCACCCCGAGACAGTTCAGCAAATCAGTTTTTAAGTTTATAGCAAGCAAAACATCTTGCTCAGCCCAAACCACTTTTTTTCCACTTCGATACTAAGCATTGGATTTTTTCATTTTTCAAAGAATTTGTCTTTTCATTTACATTACTTTGAAGCAGTGTTTTACTTTAGAAAGTCAGATTTGTTACAACAAGCATTCAGCAAAACTGTGGATAAATGATGGAAATTGTGTCACCAGATTTACTTTCTTTTTTTACTGGGAGGTCAGACTAAATGGAATGAATAAATATTCGTGAGAAACAGTATTTTATGGAAAATATGTCCCTCATTTGGCACTCACCTTTTATAAACCTTTCCCTGCTAGATCTGTAATTTACTTTATTTAATCTGACACCTTTTCTTTTAAGTACTTACACAAGAACATAGTTTGTTTCTCATTCTGCTTATTTCAAATTAGAAGTAGACTTTACCAGAAGCATTGCATCAGATGTAATGAGTAGGTATAATCTGAGCAGGTCTACCCAAATAATTTAATGCAATCCACGGCTTTAAAATAAAGCACATTACAATAAAAGCATACACTAAACTTCCCTTCTTTGTGTTTACTTTGCTGAAATGATATGAGGGGTTTCCCACTACAGCCAGGATAAGCACTTCTGCCCTTCCTTCTCAAAGCCAAACCTCGGAGCCTTGAACCCCAAAGTCACAAAGTTCCATGTGCAGCAGTTTCCTTGCAGGAGACCATCTTTCAAGGGTGCTCACTCCATGCATCCTGAGGTACCTCTTTCTCACAGCTAGAACTCCTCTGTTGCACCCTTAGGAAGCAAGAACCCAGAGATGCAGAGCACAGGGCCACCACCACCAATAGGCTCTATCTGGAGAAGGTCCTGCACAACACTGGTGTCCTTTTTCATGCCTTTCTGTGCTGCATCCATGTTCCCCTTTAGCAGGTAGAAGATTCAGTGCAGAAATCAAAAAGGTCCTAATTGTGAACCATTTTTACAGCCTGCAACACTGAAATTGGGCAGGCAGGAGAGCAGAGCTCCCTGCGTAGCCTCCAACAGCTCTAATCAACTTCACTGGGGGGTTTTGTCTCTTGGCTTTCACACCATTTCCCCAGCTCCCGGATGTGTGGGTGGAATTAAGACTTATGGTTTTTTTGATCTGGCTGGACCTGGTGTCACATCCCAGAGATGAAAGGCTGCCCTACAATGCCTCTAATCCTGTGCTGCTCGATGTTTTCACAGAGAGGCAGATTTCTCACACATGTGGCAAAGATAAGGCTCAGTGTCTGCATCCCTTTTGTACTCTGAGGTTCTTAAGATGACTTCCATTTAAATAAGATAAAAAGATTTAGAAGGGTTTTTCCAAATGCCAAAATCTTTCTCCCCCTGTGATAAAAGAAGCCAAATAAAACATCCCTTTCCCCTCCTGTCACAGTCTCTCCAGATGCTATTTACCTCTGTGGAGCATTTTCAGGCTGGAGATGAGCTGGCAGGCTTCGGTTGGGGATTTGCAAGCTCTAGTGTAGCTTTTCACACTGCTGATAACGTCGTAGAAAGTCACATTGGATGCTAAAGAGAACGTGGATTGCACTGAAACGTGCACAAAATTTGCCTCCCTAACAGAAAACAAAACAAAACAGCCCTGAGTATCATGGGTCAGTCTGATGTCATCATTAGCACCTTATACATAGGACTCTTATTAATCCAGGCGATGCTTATCACAGATGCAGCATTACATGCATACTAAAACAGTCCTGCATTGTAACAGACCTTAAAACCAGGAAAAACCTACACAGAGACATGTAAATTTAAAGCTGGTAGCTCATTCTGAAACCAGACATAAATCCCTCCTAGGCAGCTCCCAAGACCATCCCTCAAACCACTCAGGGCAGGAGGAGAGTACCATGAGAGCCAGGCAATGTGGTCAGACTTTCCTTATGCCCTGTACCACTGCCAGGCTAGATTGCATCAAGCCTAGTACCAGCTCAAAATGAAGAATGTGGATCTCAAATTGAAGATCCCAAAGGCTCAAGTTTATCATTTTTCCCCTAATAGCCTTAACCTTACCTGCTTGCCACCACTGTGGAGTGGTGGTACCCTGGCAAGCTCGACAGTGATGCATCAAGCTGCAAGGAAGGAGAGAGCAAATGTTAGTGCCCCAGGGGATGTTGGAGGGAGGCAGCCAGGTGGGATGCAGCATGAAACAGTCCTTCTGGGTCACTGACACCATCCCCTCTGTTTTCTAGAGATGCCTGCTGAGACCAAGGGGGCTCTGAGCATCCCAGCACTTCATCTGCTCAAAAGATGCATTGCCCTGTTGCCAATAAGGGATGGACAAAGTCACCATCATGCAGCCTTGGAGAAGAACAAAAACCTGTGGATTTTGACATGAGCATCTGCCTGGGGCCCCACTGTGCAATGACCACGAAGGCTGAGGATGAGCCAGAAGTCAGCAGGGAGAGCATCCTGTGCAAGGCTGAGCTCAAAATGGAGCCCTCGAAGACTGCACATCTTCCAAGGAGCCTCCCTGACCCTGGCTCTCTGCAGTTGTTCATATTTACTTCCCGGCACAAGCTGTGCAGGCACCACCCAGGTGACTCTCCCCATCTCCCCCCTCTTTTGGCAGCGTCTCTAATATCACCTACTCCAAAGAGTTGAAAGTGCAGCCAGCCCAGGAACTGCTAACAGGACAAGCTCTTGCATGCAATGATCTGGATAAAAACTGCACAGAGATGTACCTATCCCCAGCCCAGGGGTCTTTTTGGAGCAAGTGATAGCACAGTCTATGGGGAAGCCAATGGCTCATCCAGCACTTGTGCTCAAGTGACTGAGGGACACATGGCTACAATAGAATGGCTGGGAAACTCCACCCAGAGGAAGGTATTTTTGGGTGAGTGCTGCTGCTGGGCTTCATCCCTTGGTTTTTGGGTAAGAGCAAGGTAGCACCAGCTGCAGTCCAATCCACTTCAGCATCCATGAGATTTACTGATGAATGGTGTAGCTCAGAGTTACTGTCTGGAAAAGACAATGCAGTTAAAAAGCACTAGGAGAGGATGGAGGCTACAGAAGTGTGAATCCAGGCACACCACTTCAGGAAAAGGGTTTTGAGATTTTCTGGGCAGATATCCTTGTGCTGGTTTGAGCTGAAATAGAGAAGAAACTGTGAAGAAAGTTAACTCTACTTCAGCTCAAACCAGCACAATGCTGCTTTCAGCCCCATAGGAGCCAGATCTCTCACTGTTGTCTCGACAGCCTGGGCAGGACAGGAGAGAGAAGCATGATGGGTTTAAAAGCATGTATCTCACCAGTCCAACTTACACCAGACTGGAATGGTTCAATGATTAAAAAGGCTAAACATGCTACAAGAGGCTCATGGCTTCCCATAGCAACCAGAAAGGGAGTGAAGGGGACTTTGTCCCATCAGCATTGCCAAAGTCCCAGCAACAACACTCACCATTGCCAGGATCTCATTCTCAACGTTGAAGAGCTCTGCATACTTCCCATGGGTAATATTAAGTTTCAGGGGCACTTGGCCGATAAATACTCTTACTAAAAAGGAAAATAACACAAGTTAGTTGGAACATATGTCTCCATGCCATGTGTAGCTGTGGTGTCATCCACCTTACATGAGAGGCTGTCTGCATGGAAAATCCCTTTACATAGCATACAGAAAACTCACATCCGAGAGTCACTGCCCCAATAAAGCAAAGTCTCAGCCTTGGGATTTTTCCCAAGGGTTGCAGCAATGTTCCCACAGTCCCAGTCAAATTCCAGAGCTCAATGCTGCTGAATAGCCAGCATTTCACTGCAGTGTTCATACATTTCATGTAGAAACACAGAATAATTGAATAGGATCCCTGAACACAGAGAGAGATGGGTAAATTTAGAAACAAGACAGTTTCAGGTACCAAAGTTATTTATGATAATTTGGGGTAAACTTGTCAATTCTCTTACTCCTCCTTGCAATAGAAGGAAAACAAGTCAGCAAGTCAAAATAAAGCACTGCAGAAAGGACATTTTCATTTTTCAAACTGTTGGAGACAATGAGCAATGACATTTGAAAATATGTCCAAAAGATGCATTTTTCTGTGCTTAGATTCATATTTGATTCATGGCAGCAGAATGCAATAATCTGAGTTGTCCAGACTTGGAGAGATAATACTCTAAATCTTGTATTAAGTGTCATGAGATACTCAGTGGAAATGAGAACTCAGAGCTCCAGTTTTATGTTCCACAAGGAAAAAAATAAAAAGAATAAAACGACCAAAAAACAGTTGCAGATAACATTATAAAGGTTCCAATTGTTTTGCATTTTTTCCCATCCACAGAGCCTATCTTCACCACAAATTTTATATCAGACAGCTCTAATGTAACAACTCTGGACAACACCTCCAGTGCTTGTACCCCAGTTCAAGGCATAATCAAAACAACTCTCTAAATTAAAAGCTGACACATTCCAACTTGAAGAAATGTTTCAAAACACCCTTCAGGGACACCTCACCCATGTTCCCTTAGCAAAATGTTCATGCATCTAATCCTTGCTGATTAAGGGTCAGAAGAAAATCTATCAAAACAAATTCCCCTTTACAATGGGACATTGTAAATCCTTGAGATTGAGAGCCCTCTAATAGAAAGGAGGGGGTGAGAACCTGAGTTCCAGCTAATAACTGTGCTGCTTGAAAAATCCTAAAGGTATGAAACAAGACCTTGATCTTACGAAGACTTTCACGACTGCTAATTTTCCGCACATGGCTGATCCCACTGAAGTCAGGTTACACAATAGCTCCACTCACTTCTCCCAAGCCATGTGCTGTCACTGGAGTTTGCAGGGCTGGGAGCTATGATAAGCTGCTGAATACTTTTTGGGATTGTAAAACACATTAGGAACAGAAGGGACACATTTGTCCTTACTACAAAGCCTGAGCTCACTGCTCCATTGCTGTGCTTTTAAGAAACCCTCAGCTCTCTCTGCTCCTGCTCCCTGGGCAGCCCAACACGACAGGCATTAGACACTGCACTTGTATAAACAGTAAAAGGCTCTGATAAAAGTGGTGGTTGGGAGGAACATTAAGCTCCTGAACTAGTCTGAGCCTAGGTTAATTTATTTTAGAAGATTATAGATAATTATTTCCATCTTTTTCTTCCCTGTTTTTTTCACTTCTGTTTTCTTACCTAAATTGCACTTTCCTTTTTCCAGCTCATATCCAAGAGGACACTGACAGATATAGGAGCCATGGGTGTTGTTGCACGTGGCCAGTGCAGGACAAGGGTTGGAAAGGCATTTATCCACATCTACGAATGCAGAAGAAAACCCAGGTTATAGTTACAGAATCACAAAGATCATCAACTGTTGGCCTAAAAAAGATCAACTTGGCTCCCCTTCTGGGACTCCCTGAGCATGATCACATGTGTCATTGCATCATTTGCGCTTACTATTTATCCTGTTCCTAATTATTCTGTTGAAGCTGAAAGAATAAATATAAACCACTTGAATATTCATTCGAAAGCCCTTGGGGTCCAGTGTGGATCCATGTTGATACAAACTCCCAGCTTGTCTACAGCACTGCTCATCAGAAGACCTCAGGGTATTTTCCAAACAACCCAATAGTTATGGATGGAGAGAGCAAAGAAGGAACCTTGACAACCAGAGTTAGACATGGACGCACAGGCTGCTTCACCAAAGTCCTGCCCTTTCTATCCAAGCCCTGTTTCCATGACCCAAAGCTACTGCTTGAACACTGATGCAGTCTCTAGATTACCCAGTAATAGTGGAGTCAGCCCTGGCTGCCATCACCTCCTTTACTAGGGCTCCTCCATGCCAGGCTGGGGATGGTCAGTGATACCTGCTCACTCACAACTTCCCACTGGGTGAGCAAGGGCCTGGGGAACAGACATCACTGTGACATACAGTGTATCAGAGGATTAATGACTGTAGTCTCAGATGCTTCATAGATTAGCCAAGTCACACTGCAAATTCTGGAGAAGATATCTAATACTTCTCTTTGGCAAAAACAAAAAAACAAACATATTCTGGTCAAGAAAAGCTGCTTTTGCTGTGTGTATGACTCACATGAGCACAAATGCACACCACACACACATGCAAGGGCAGGGCTGTGGACTTGTTGGTGACAAAGTGCTATGAGGCAAGCAAGACAGCTTATACAACACTAGTACTTATTTTGTGTCTGCTGCTAAGCACTGCAGCAGAGGCAGGAAGGATGGTCTCTGTGGTTAAAGCATGAAGCATGAGAACCAAACCTGTGTGTGTATTTCTGATGGCACCATGATATCCCATGGCATCACATAAACCCTGCAGACCTTGCAAACCCAAACTGACTTCCATGGTGGGACACACCACTTGATGCAATCTTGTGCCTTGACTAGCCTGGCACAGCTAGCTCAGCATCATCAGGAAGGAGATTTGGTGTCTCTTCTCTATACAGACAGAAATGAGTGGGTGTGTTTAAAATGGTGGTTTTCACTTTGCTGCCTTTCAGTTCATGCTTTGCCCAGCTGGGACCAGGGCAGCCTCTTCTCTTGTGGCTGTGAGTGCCCATGCACAAAGCACCATGTCCAAGGCAGCAGAAGGATCTTTTGCATTCTGGTAAATGACAAAAGGCATCCAAAGGAAACAGTAATCTGGAAAAAGTGTGAACCATTTGCTAAAAAGGATACATCACCTTAATTTTTCAATTAAAAAATTCATTCCCCTATAGTGAGGTGATTTTTTGCATGAAGACATAGCTATAATTAAAACCAATCAGCCTGGCAAGTAACCTTTAAATACTTCATTATTGGATGGAATATATATTATTGCCACTATTATCTGAGATTAATGCCTTTAGCACACACGATATCCTACAGTGGCATGAGGGCCAGACTCTGAACTTCAAACACACAGTCAGTTTCCATTCCCATAAAACTCTGGTATATGTATTTACTTGCAATGATAAGGAGGCAGGAAGTCGTAATAAATGATTACAACAACGCACTCTGCAAGACTATGTTATATAGCCTACCAGGAGAAGCAACAGGCCCTCAAGTATTTAGTGAGGTGGGGAGAAAACAACATGGGGTTGTAATAACAGAAGTGGTTCCAACACAAAGACCAAGTGCTGGCCAACTGTATTTTCTCTTTAATAAGATAGGTATTGGTCGATATCAATTGATGTTGTCAACCTATCAACAAATATAAAATGTGTCCTATGCTTACCTGGATGGCCAGTCAGCGTTATTTTTTCAAAATTGTCAAATTTCATCTTACCCATTCTACCATAATGTTCACCAAAGTGCTCACCCTTATTCCAGCAGTTCCACATGAATGCTAAACCCTTAGCTTAAAAATACCAGCATGGAGACATAGTTCTTGCCCTCAAACTCTGCTGAAAACAGACTTGTTATACATACATACATAACCCTTTGGAGACTCTTAAAGTTGAACCCAGGGATTCCTGCCCTCCTTGTCCCTGGCTCCACCACTGATGAGTGCAGTTATACACACTACCTGTTGCTGGAGGTGACGTCCTCAGCCTGACTGTGCTGCTCAGTGGAGGAACAGTGGTTGGTTTGGTAGCAGCCAAAGTAGTTGCAGTGCTCACAGTGGTCTTGATGGCTGGAGGTGCTTCAGAAGGGCTTGTAACAGGGATGTTTTCTTCAGTGACTTGGCCAGGTTTTGCAGTGGTGGGATCCACAGCTTCTGTGCTTTCATCAGTGGTATACATGTGCTTAGTGGCAGTGGGTGTTTTTGCTCTGGGGTCTTTCATGGTGCTAGCATCACCTGAGGTTGGCTGGTGACTGGCTGGTGTTGTCAGCACAGGAGATTTCACTGTGGTCAGTGCCACTGCGGGGGCAATGTTGCTGGGGTTTGTTGTACTCGGTGAAGGTCTAAGGGGTGCATCTGTTGGATCAGCCTGTGGAGCAACACTGGATGTGGTGAGCAGTGGTGTAGCCTTCCCAAAGTTGCCCCCCTGGGTGGTGGCAGCTCTAGGCAAGGCAGTCTCTGTTACTGTCACAGGAGTGGACATGGACACAATGTGTCCACCAAGCAGCTCCATGAGTGCCGTAGGGAGAGGAGACCCAGTGGAGGTGAAAGTGGTGCTGTTTTGGGGCTGGTGTGTGATATTGTGCTTGTTGTTCTCTCTGGGCAAGCTCCCAGCCACGGCGGCTGTGGACGGCACCCGCCTGACCGCAGTCGTAGCTACAGCAGGGCTTGCTTCATCACTATCATTGGACTGCAAGGTTGATGAGGGTGATGAAAACAGAGGCAACAAAGATGATAATGAATATGATGGGGAGAACAATGTGGAAGTAGGCAAGGAGGATGACAAAGCCTTCATAGGGGCTGAAGATGCCATCATAGAGGACGAGAGTGGCTCAGGTGACTCTGATGGTGTAAACAGGTGCATTGGTGGAGGTGTCGATGACAGCGAGTGTTGCAGTGATGACGGTGAGGAAGAGGCTGGAAGTGCCGACGAAGATAGAGATGATCCACCAGTGGTCAGCAATTCAGAGTCAGTGTTGAAGACAGTGGTATTTTGTACACTGCCTGTAGGAGCAGAAGTTGACAGTTTGGAAGAGTATACCAGCAATGGCTCTGTAGATGGTTCAACAAAACTGCTATCATTTGATGCATTGGTCTGCCTGTCCTGGGCTACAGATGATTTTAATGCATCAGAAGGGCTGGAAATTTCAGAAAAAAAAGTAGAACTTTCTGAGGAGTCAGCAGAGCTGCTGCTGTTGGAGATAGACAGGAGGGTCCTTTCTCCTCCTCTGGTATTTGTGATTGAAATATATGTGCCATCTGTCTGAGAAACTGAGGTCCTTTTCTCAGTATCGATGCTACTGGCTGGTTGGTGGCTACCTGAAAAGTCTGGAGTAAAAGGACAAAATACATTAGAAAGACAGAGCAATACAAAAGTATTTTGAGGTACACATGCTAAATACATAAGACATTCTTGTGTGTGAACTGGCCCATGCTTTTTTAAAAATTTAGAGCACCATCCAAGCATGGGTATGGAATTAAGACTCTTGTGCTTTCCTTAATTGATTCTAAAATGGTGAACTCTGTCAGATACAAGGCTCCTGTGAAACATGTAGGTTTCCAAAAGACTGTTCTACACGTATTGCTTTTCTAATGTGATTGAGCACTTAACATCCCATTATGTTTGTGGCAAGCTAAGCAGGAAAATCCATCTGTTCTCTTCATCACTCAAAATTTATAAAATTCATATCCTCTTCCTCTTATCCTCCATTCCCATCTACAGAATATCCATCTTCTTCTGTAAATTCGATTTTAGACACAGTGAACTTCATGCCTCTGCAGGATGAAATTATTACGTTATGTTAATTTGCAGCTTATCATTAACTCATTGATTAAAACTTTGCAGCCAGGAAATCCTAAATGAGTAGCACATCAGTCTGCAAAAAATTCAGATTATTTAGCGTGAAAGGTATAATCAATCTTATAATACAAATTTCAGGATGTACAGCTAAGTTCAGCCATCCCTTAAGAAATTTAAAATTGGGTATTGAAAATTTGTTTTAATTCTGCAACTGGCTTAGGTCATCATGAAACACATCTGAAAGCATTACCCAAAAGAAATCAGCTAGAATGCAAAAAAAAATGCAGCCGTCAAAACAGGAGGGTTCATGGCTTCACTTCTGGAGCAGTTCCCCATCCATGTGGGGTTTGGCTTTGAGTCCTTTGACAAAAACATCTGCCTGAGTGAACCCACAGGTGGCATTGCATGTACTAATGAATGATAATAATAGAATTTTAGGGGTTGGAATGGACCTTACAGGTCATCTAGTCATAAACCCATGCCATGTGCAGGGACACCTCCCCACTAGACCAGGATGCTCAAGGCTTTAGCCAGCTTGGCTCTGAATACAGCCAGGGCAGCCACCACTTCCCTGGGCAACCTGTGCCAGTGTCTTACCATCCTCACAGCAAAAATCTTTTTTCTAATATCTAACCTAAACTTCCCCTCCTTCAACGTGAACCCATTACCCCTTGTCCTAACATTGCAGTTCCTAACAAAGAGTTCCTCTCTGGCTCCCTTGTAGGCCCCTTCAGATATTAAAAAGTTGCTTACACTTACAACACAGATAAAAACAGGAAAATGTGGACTCACCCCCAAAACATATACCAGGAGACATCAACTTACTTGTGAGATCATTTTGAAAAGAAGAAGATGTGGGTATCTTGGAGGAACGTACAAAGAGTGTCTCTGTTGCAAAGCCTGTGAAGCCCCTGCTGCTGGTGGAGGCATTGGCTGTCCTGCTCTGCTCCACTGATGCTGGCTGAGCTGGCCCTAAAGAGCTGTCAGCTTCGGCATAGAAAGAAGAGCTCTTCATGCCACCAGCCAATGTGCCATCCGTCGCTGAGTACAGCATCCTCTCTCCGCCGCCAGCAGACCTGGATGAGCTGTACACAGGATCAGTGATGGGGCCAGACATCTTCTCCTCAGAACTTGAGCTGCTTAGGGCGTGATGACTGCTGCCAATGGCTGCAATTGGATGGAAAAGCAAGCATCTGATCTTACCATCTCAGAGCAGACAGCACTTGTGAATTCTACAGTAAGTCTCTTCGGAAATGCAGATTAATAAAATTGTGCAGATAAAGTCAGATTAGATCAGATTAAGTAGATTTTTGCATATCTATTTATCTTAAATGTGGATTTAATGCACAAAGGCTATTCCAAAAAAAACCAACACTGTCCAAATAGAGGGCCAATCAGAACCATTAGAATCATAAAGGTATATTCATGTTATTTATAATTATCACTCCAACCAACACAGGTAATAGATGTGTTCTACAGCAAGAAGCTACACATCTCATTCTTAAGACTTTTCTTGTCAAGCATCAACAGCTGCAGATACACAACACCAAGGAGCAGAACTACCACTGCTTATAAATCCTGCCCATGACACCCACAACTGTTCTGATATGTGCTAGTGGTCATATCAGCCCCACAGAGGAGGGGAAAGGAGAGGCAGTGGGGTCTTTTTGCTAGTTCAAGTGCTATCCTGGAGTTCAGAAAAACTCACTAGAAGGTACATCAGCAGCTGAGAAGTCGGTGAAGACCTTGGGCTCTGGGTACCCTGTTCGGCCAGGCAATGATTGTCTCGCTCCAGGCTGTGCTGTGGAGGATGGGAGGGGGTCGGTGTGGGTTTCCCTGGCCGTGTCTGTGTGAGATGTGGGGCTATGGGTTTCTGTGCTCCACGTGCTGTGGCTAGCTGCAGTTTGAGATGTCCCCTCCTTGTCGCTGGAGAATGTGGTTGAGACATACAAAATGTCAGTAGCAGGACCAGAAACTCTTCTTTCTCTCTCTGGAATTGCAAAGCAGAGATATACATAATTATATATAAAAATATATAATTTGTA